TTTTTTTAATATGTTCAAAACTAAAACCTATTACAACAGCTACTAGATAACCACATTGTTTTTTTTTTTTTTTTGTGTTGTCGTTTTTGCTTCTTGTTTTTGTTTTTATGTTTTTATGTTTTGTAAGGCACTATAATAGGGATAACCTAGTAATCTGGTCTCGACTGTTCTCACACAGGCTTTTGGTAACAATAGTCGACAAGCCCCTGGGTTTTTGACCATCGGTCGAGCGACTGCTAAACCCCAAGATGACAAGATGGGACGTAGGTATATCTTCAGGGGGTAAAATAGGAACAGTTCCGCTAAGGCCGAAGTTTGGAGCGGGAAGCTGGGCAGGGGGCCAGCTTGAGCCGAAATAAAAAAACGGTAAGCTTGGGTCGACAATTGAGACCAGATACTAGAGATGGAACAATAAGGAATCCTGAAGACTGTCTTTTTGTTTTTTGTTTTAGGTTGTTTTGTTACATTGTAGTATGTAGATGGTCATTGTATATGCCTCAATGAAAATAATAAAAACTTTTGAATAACATAAGACGCACTTTTTTCCCCCCAAAAGGAGGGGAAAAATGTGCCTATGTCTTATGGAGCGAATCCCGACGCCCGAGACATGCAGTTTCGGGTGCCGGGCGAGTAGTGCTTTGTACATTTAGCTCTACTAAAGCAGAGCTAAATGTACAGTAGGAGCCACTGCTCGTTTAATACGAGTGATCTAATGAGATCACTCGTATTAAAACCGAGCAGCGGCGGCGATCGAGATCACCAAAGAGCAGACGAAGAACGGACGTTCTTCGCCTGCTCTGTGTGATCAGTGAGACCGTGGCGCTGTAATCACAGCGCCACCTGTCTCAGCGGTCACTTACTGCAGCTTCTGTCACAGAAGCTCCGGTCTTTCGAGTGCTCCATAAGGCGCACCAGACCTCCCTGCGTCCTATGGTCCGGTGCGTCTTATGGAACGCAAAATACGGTAATTCACTCGTTTCGAAACAGAATTTTCTCTTTTTTATTGAATAATAAACGCCCCAGAATCCCTAAAAGTACAATGCACATACATAGGAGATGGGGGCTGGGCCTCCCAAATTTTTACAAATATTATCAAGCCGCACAATTGGTCCCTCTAACAAACCGTTATACGACTCTATATCGCCCAATTTGGGTAGACTTAGAAAAATACATCTGTCCTCCTGTTTCACTGAAGGCTATCCTTTGGTTGCCGGCCCGATTACGACCAAAAGTTATGAGCCCATTCCTGAAACACATGCTTAAAATCTGGGATAATATAAAATATTGCAGTGAACTACAATCATCTTATGCACCGTTACTTCCTATTATAGGTAACCCTTTGTTTCCACCGGGACTGGAAATGCCGACTGCCTTCGGTTGGTGGATAACCCATGGGGTGACATGCCTACACCAGTTAAGGGTAGACGGTACAATTAGCACATGGTCTTGTTTCCAGAATAACATGCAAGCCCCATACATAGAATACTATAGATATTTACAACTTTGGCACTGGGCTATATCAATGCTTTCTGAAACTCCAATTATAGCGGAATTAACGGTTTTTGAAAACATCTGCCTGAAATGCCCCACGACCCCTAAAATTATATCGATATTATACTCCCAGTTAAACAGGTTATTAAAGCCCAGTAACTATAAATATATACGGAAATGGGAAAAAACTCAGAGTTGTTCAACAGCTGAAGGAATGGCAACAAATGTGGAAATCAATAGCTACGTGTTCTATTAATGTAAATTCTCTGGAAACTGCATTTAAAACTTTAACTAGATGGTACCTAGTGCCCTCCAGGTCAGTTTACTCCCACTCGACACATTCAGATCTCTGTTTTCGAGGCCGTGATTCTAAGGGAGATGTAGTTCATACTTGGTGGACATGTCCGAAACTGGATAGGTTCTGGTTGAAAGTATTTCAGATGATCAACGATCTTTTTCTGACTAATATAGTAAAAGATCCATGGGTAGCTTTACTACACTATAAATCCCCACTCCTGTCTAACCCACAACATAAACTGGGGACCTATGTCATATTGGCGGCGAAACAGACCATTGCCCAGGCATGGAGGAAACCATACTTGTTTTTTGGGGAAGTTAAAAAGAGGATGGATTAATTTTTTCTTAATGAAAAACTGACTAGCATCCTGTTGGATTCTAATAAAAAGTTTATGAAGACTTGGGAACCCTGAATTAAGTACGCTCATCCAACACTCTCAGTAGAAAGTTTGACGCTTCTGTAGAAATGATTTTGGTGTTTTATCCCTCCTTTTGTTAGCTTTGAGGTTCGGTCTTTTTTTTGTTTTGTTCTGTGGTTATACTGTATTGTCTTGTTAAAAGGTGGTTGGTGGGGAGGGTCAGCAGGGTGATACAGATTATTTCTATCCTTGCAGACTATAGATGTTAATGTATGTTTTGTATATGGATGTTTATAAAACAAATAAAATCTTTGAAATAGAAAAAAAATTCTGTAAAGTAAGAATGCTTTCAGAAATAAAAGTGTTAATAGTTTATTTTTGTCAATGATCAAAATGAAAAGTAAATCAACAGAAGAAAAATCTAAATCAAATCAATATTTATTCTGACTACCCTTTGCCTTCAAAACAGTGTCAATTCTTCTAGGTACACTTGCACACAGTTTTTGAATGAACTTGGCAGGTAGGTTCTTTTAAACATCTTGGAGAACTAACCACATATCTTCTGTGAATGCAGACTGCCTCAAATCCATCTGTCTCTAGACAGATTTGATGATGTTGAGATCAGGGCTCTGCATATTTTTTAAAATATATTATTAATGATGCATTTCTTTAATTTTTGCAAAAGGTGAACTTATCCTTTAATGAGGGGGACTGGAGGGAAGGCTAATGTTTACTCTAATTAAATTTGTCTGTACTGCTTTGGCAGATTTAATTATCCGTTGTAAACAACTTGATTTGAACAGTGTCTTAACAAAAGGTTAAAGCCTTTGAGGCATTGTGTGTTTAATGAGAGGTAGCTCAGTCCAACCTTCAATCTGACACTGTAGTTTCACCTCTCAAACTGCTCATAATAGCTTGGAACATGCACAAAGGCCTTCACCAAAGAGACATCTAAAATTTAAGAAATGTTTTTTAAAATATTTTTATGTATGCTGTGTGAATGGTAATGCATAACAAACATATAGAGGGGTTTTCCTAAATTTGACAAAAATTTGTCAAAAAGTGGAACCACCCTCTTTGCTTGTACTGTATTTATAACTAAAATCATGTGTATTGCAGATTTCTCAGTAGTCATAGACCTTTTAAACTCCAGTATTTGCATAGTCTTTATAATGTTTTAGCTGGATTGATTGTAATCCATAAACATGGTAAGTCTTGTGGTTTATACTTTTGTCAAGTAAACAGCCTACATTCTTTATGTACTATTGCATAGGGATAATCTTTCTCTCATAAAATGTGTGGTTTATTAAACAATCTGTTTTTTAAAGCTTGGGCTGTATCGCATGCAGATTAGCTAGGGTTTTAGTTTTTTTTTTTTATGCACATGATGGCAGCTATTAAGTACCTGCTAAGTTTTCAAAGTCTGGAGACATTTAACCTTCAAGGAAATTTTGAATTCAAGCAACTTTATAAGTGGTTTCACTTTTTTCTGGTAAGCGCTTGAGTGAATGCTGATTCACTAGTTGCATATTGACATATTTATACAGTAATATGTGTTGTCTTTTTTTTTTTGAGTCTTATTTTTCTTCCCCTTAGGAGCTGGTGGACATAAAAATGTTGCAGTGTACACGAGTTGTAAATGGTAAGAACAATTATTAATGTCGCCTATACCACCTATACCAAGTCTATGTTAAGAAGACAGTAAATATGGTGTTTTAAATACTCCTGAAGAAACGTCTAGCTGCCAATCCCGAATACAAAATTTAATCTGGTGGCATGTTTTGCAACACATATGCACACTTAGCACTGAAACATGAATTTCTCTCTCGTCCATTGAGGGACATATGATTCCTAAACAACTTATACTTCCACCTACAGGAGTATAGGATACTGGCAACCAAAAAAAACATCGGCTAGGCCTGAGTATAACCCAGTGGTTTTCAACGTAGAGACTATAGGCTTGTGTGGCTCTCAATATGTCCAGAGGGCCGCACAATAGTTTAGCTCTCGTAAATTTTCAGTTGCGTTAACACGCAGTAAAATCTTTTGCATTCTATGCATTACTGCAACACGTGGTAACCAGTGCACAGCTATGTGCGCGCTGTGGTGCCATTTTTTTCCCCAGCATATAAATCTTTATTACATTTTTTTCAAAACCAATAATGGCGCAATGTAACAGTCGTTATATAGCAGCTGAATGCATAGTGGAGATGCCAGCAATCTCCAACAGTAAGACCACTGAAAGTGCAGAATAGGGGATGACATTAGATCTGGTATTTATGCATGGATAAAACATATCATGTAATGCAGTAATTAACTCAGGGAGGAGGGTGAAAAGGGTAATAAAATAGAAGAGGGAATGGCAGGAAGGAGTGAGAAAAGACGTAGGCAGGACAAGCGAGAGATCACAGGAGGGGGAAAGGGGTGTTATGATCACAAGTACAATCTAATCTGAATATGGAAAGCTGGAGTCGATGGGTTTTGAAGGGCACATGGATGGGAATAAAGACAAAAGGTGGATTGTCAGAGGATAAAGGTAGACACATCTTGTGGTCGCGGATAGTGGAAGTAAGTAGCTACAGCCGAAGGTGCACTAACTACGTTAAGCGTTCTCTAAATATTAGACATTAGGTCTTCATAAGACATCAAGAGCTCCAAGGGACCATCTAGTTTGGCCATAAGGTACCAGTGAGTGTGTTGGAAAGCAGCCATGATATCTTTGAGTTTATCTTGGGATAACTCGGAGATAGGCAGACCAAGTGTCAAAAAATTTGCCTGTGCGCACTTGATTGAGCTTGGTATCTAGTTTCTCAATAAGCATAATTTGAAAGAGAATGGCACGGCACGTATATGCGATATGGACGAGATATCTGAAAATAGCCATTTTTTTAAGATGGCTTTTTTGGTTGCCAGGAGACAAATGTTCCCACAGAGAAAGGGGGGAGGGTGTGGAGTCAAGGTGGGATCCGTAACATGTAAAAGACACATAGCTGGGTGGGGGTCCCTGATTCTGTGAGTGATGGAATTCATGTAAGACAACAACTGAACTATGCTGACAGACGGGAGCCTTGCGGGGAAAGCAAATGTTGTATGGAGTGTATTGTATTTGCATTTCCAGATCTGAAATATTTTAGAGTCGCTACCTTGAGGGAATATCGGAAAAGTAGTGATAGGCATCCACGGTGACATCACTCCTCGTAATCCCACAAGCTTTCTCACCTCCCGCCAAGTGATGATGGTATCTTTCAGTAAGATGTTCTGCTTAAGGCGTGGCTGGAGTGATTGAAATGGAGTGTGGAGTACACCCGCTAAAGACACTAACTGGGATTCCAAATTGGTGTTGGAAAGAAGACTCGTGTAGCCAGTCCCTCACATAGCGGAAGTTGCTAGCCAGATTGTATATTCTTATGTTGGGTCAATTGGCCCCTAAATTGGATTTGGGTTGTTGTAATTTCCTAAGAGCGATTCTCGGCTTCTTCCTATTCCAAATTAATTTCGAATAGGCTCCGTTGAGCATTTGGATGTCTTTATGTTTAATGAGAAGGGATAGAGTTTGTAACGGATAAATAAGCCGGGCAAAGCTGACCATTCGTATCAAGTGGCATCTGCCCAACAGTAATAGTGGGAGATTCTGCCAGGTCAGTTCAGCACTAATCTTTTTTTGAAAATGGGAGTAATTAAGATTATACACTGAGTGGCCAGATTATTATGACCACCTGACGTTTGTAGGCAATTAGCTCTAATTTCGCGCTGAAGTTGCTAGAGGGCCAGACCACTATAAATAAGGTTGTTTACCACGACAGTAGAAGTGATTTTTTTTCTGAAGATATGGGTTAACAGCCTTTGAACGTGTGATGATTGTTGGCGCTCGAGCCATGGCGCAAGTATCAGCAAAACAGCAGAGTTCGTTAAACGTTCAAGAGCAGCTGTTGTTTAAGTGTTAAAAGACTGGACTGTCAGCCGAAAATCTGGGTCTGAACTTGCGAATTGTGGTCGTCAGCGACTAGTCAATGTTAGGGCAGAACGGAGAGTGGCAAGACTTGTACAAGACAACAGAAGGGCAACAGTGCATTAAATTACTGCAGATCTTAATCAGGGATCCTCTGAGGGATATGGAAGCCAAAGGCCTGTTCGAACACCTTTTTGTTGTCTGCAGTTAACAAGATAAAACGTCTCCAATTCGCACAGGAACACAAGGATTGGACAGTCGAGCATTGGAAAAAAGTAATGTGGTCCGATGAATCACGTTTTCAGTTGCATCATGCAGTTGGCAGAGGGAGAATTTGGTGGTAACAGCATGAAAGCATGCACCCCACATGCATGAGTAAACCCTTCAAGCTGGTGGGGGCAGTGTTATGGTTTGGGGCATGTTTTCCTGGCATGATTTGGGCCCTTTAATTCGTGTGGTACAACGTCTGAATAGGACAACATACCAAAGTATCGTTACTGATCAAGTTCATCCTATCATGTTGATGGCGTATCCCAATTGAGATGGCTTCTTCCAACAAGACAAGTGCGCCATGCCATGGTGCTCGTATTGTGCAGGAGTGGTTTCAAGAACATGAGGGAGACTACCTTGCTTAGGTGGCCCCCACAATCACCAGATCTCAATCCAATTGAGCATCTGTGGGACGAAGTTGAAAGAGCCATCAGGCAGCTGGTTCCACAACCATCAAATCTCACAGAACTGGACAGTGCTATTCATCAGGCATGGTGTCAGATTCCTTGCATTACCTTTCAACATCTCGTGGAGTCAATGCCAAGAAGAATCGCCGCCGTATTGAAGGCAAAAGGTGGCCCAACGAAGTACTGATGGGGTGGTCATAATAATCTGGCCACTCAGTGTACCATCCTCTGCTACCAGTCCCCCCTAAAATGACTATTTCAAATGATGATTTTTCCTGTCCCTTAACCTATCACCTAAAGCAAAACAAACGACAAACGCACTCAACAATTTGTTACCAGTTGTACAGTAAGGTGCACACGAAATGGGCTTTGAACAGTAGAACAGTAGAAAGGCATCATGGCACACTCACAAACTAGCATGTAAAACAACTTGTCTCACCACTAAGGACAATGACAGAGGTTTGGATACACGTCTTCTGCAAGGGATGTGTAAGCCGCACTGCCTTGCAGAAGACGTGTATCCAAACCTCTGTCATTGTCCTTAGTGGTGAGACAAGTTGTTTTACATGCTAGTTTGTGAGTGTGCCATGATGCCTTTCTACTGTTAACCTATCACCTGGCACACACCCCGGAACTCTTCTCTTAACATGCATAGGGGCCATCCGAGGGGCTAATCCACCTCTGGTCCCAACATGTTGGTGTGCACAGTCAGGTGGTCTCTGTCCCTACTCTTACTACAGTATTTATGGTATTATATTTGGGGAGACACAGATTGTAATGGGGAATATGGTTTCTCGTCTTCATTCAGGTAGGTGTCCTCTTCTACCTGAATCATGGTTGGGTCAAGGTACTTTCATCAACCACCTTGGTCATCAACTTTCTGGCATAGGGGATTACAAAGCAAACTACTAGGCTGATAAAGATCAGAACAATGAGAATCACCACACCTACTTTTATTGTTAGTGATTATTGGTATCAGGGACTCAAAACCGGCTTTTACTTGGTCTCTGGCTTTAAACTCGTCAGGGACCCCCCTTGGCACTCCAATGGCATCTATATACACATGAGGATCAAAGCTTCCTGGAGCGGCTTCCCGTTTCCTCCTGCCATTAGACACTGGAGCAGGCGTGCGTTAGGGGCCTTCTCTGTTAAGATGTGGAGAGGCATAATAGCCTTTGCAAGAGCACACTCTCCTCTCCATAGCCTGTTGTATACCACTTTGCTCAGTTGCAATACTCAGGGCAGGTGATTATTTTACAAGGGTGAAAGTTTTATGTGGCCACATGTGTGTTGGAGGAATTGTACCAAAAAGTGACTAGCCCAGCTTTTTGAGTAATAGCAACCTGTCGTGCTTCAGCAGAACTGAGTATTAAAAGGATATATAGGATCATGGTTCGGTCCCCTCGGGCACAGAGACCTTCTTGCAGTGGGAGGCGTGTATCCACGAGTTCTTCCCGGCCACCTTTACTGATGTGGCCGTTATTAAGAGGACTTGGAAAGGACCGTCATATCTTGGTTCGAGGGAATGTTTGCGTACAAATTTCTTCACCAAGACCCAATCACCAGGGACCAGCTTGTGTGTTCCTGTATCTAATTCAGGATGTGGAATGAAAGAAAATACCTGCGCATGGATACGGATTAGTTAGGTCACGAGACAGAGCAGTCACATAATCAGTTAACACATCAGATTGGAGCTGTAACTGTTGTTGGAAATAACAGCCTAATCTGGGGGCTGAACTAAACAGTATCTCATAGGGTGATAAACCATGACTTCCCCTTGGAGTGTACCTGACACTGAATAGAGCAATGGGCAGACTATCTGGCCAACTCATTCCTGTTTCCTGGGACATTTTTCACATCCTAGTCTTTAGTGTGCCATTTAATTTCTCTACTTTCTCACTGCTCTGGGGATTGTACGGAGTGTGAAAGGCTAGTGTGACCCCTAGAGCTGTCCATATTTTTTTTAGTTATTGAGGCCGCGAAAGCCGGCCCCTAATCACTCTCTATAACCTCTGG